GGAAACACTGCTGGAAAGCTATATGGCTTCAGATGTGGCCAATCCTTCCTTGATCTTAAGTAGAAGCCTGATTCAGTTCTGCAGAAACCATTGAATAGACAGAGAAAGGAATTTCCAATCCCTAGACCCATAGGAAGGGATGGCTGTGGTGTTCACCAGCAGCATTTAGGACTAATCAGCAAAGGCCTCCATACCTCCCCACCGGACCTGGCTGTTTAGTCAGAAAGCAGATGATGCTCATGTCCAGTGGAGATAAACAGCATGAACTGGGAGTTTGGGTTAGGAGTTTGGTTTTGACAAAGACATGCTTCCTCTCTGGAAGATGGGAAGAACAACAGTGCTCAACTCAGGATTAAATGAGAGGGTGTCTTGGAGAATAGCTGGCACAAAAGAAGAGAAGCCACAACTGTTACTGGAATAAGACAGTTCAAGCATAACCGAGAAGCAAGGCCCTGGCCAGGGTAGTGTTTCTAGAGGAAGTATCAATCTCTTCTGGACACTGCTGGTAGAGTGAGTTTTATACTGCATAGATGTGATCCATAACCTGCTCTTTAACCTTCCATGGTTTCCTACTGAGCTCCAGAGAAAGCCTAAATTCTTTTAAAAACTCTTTTTTAATTTTTTAAAATGTTTATTCATTTTCAAGAGAGAGGGAGACAGAGTGCAAGCAGGGGAGGGGCAGAGAGAGAGGGAGATACAGAATCTGAAGCAGGCTCCAGGCTCTGAGCTGCCAGCACAGAGCCTAGTGTGGGGCTCGAACCCACAGACTGCGAGATCATGAGCCAAAGTTGAACGCTCAACCAACTGAGACACCCAGGGGCCCCAAGCTTAAATTCTTTAATTTGGACAATTAGGCCCTGCTTAGTCAGGCACTCATGGCCTTTCCTATCCTTACCTGAGACCTCTTATTGCTTCCCTGACTGCCCCTGAGGCCTCCCCAGATCCCCCAACACCTTCACCTTCTCTCTCAGGGCTCAGCTCTCTACCTTCTTTTTATTTATCTGCCTTCCTCACAAGGCTATGAGGGGATAGCTTAATAAATATCTGCAGAATGAATGAATGAATGAAAGAGGGGCAGTTCTAAGAAAAAAAGGATCACTGTACACCGGCCAAATGTCTTGATAGGTATCTATCTCAGCAGAGTAAGAATTATCAGTAACCATAATTCACAGATGAGGAAACTGAGGCTAAAATAATCTCACTGCCTGACACTCAAATTCCTGAGTACCTGTGGGTAAGGCACTGTGTTGGGCTCTCACGATGGTATCTGTGTGCCAGCTAAGAGCAACAGATATGAGGCCAAGCACACCAGGTGACTGTTAAGGCTCTGACGCCTTGCAGAAGAGCTTAAGCTTTTGGACTTCAGTTTTTCACAGGGCTGCTGAAGGGTTAAAGGAATGTTAATGTATGCCCAGCATGGTGTCCAGCATACAGCATAGATTTAGCAAGTATTTGATTCTAATCTCAGTCTTAAGGATGAGAGATACAGGCCCAGAAAAGGTCCCTGAGCAAAGATGAGGATGAGGGTAGGACCAAATCCTGTCCCTTCTTCCCTGACTTCAAAAGCCAGTGTCCTTGTGAGAATATGTGGTCCTGTGGGTCCCTTCAGCCCAGAACGAATATACATGAGGCACTTGGCCAGGGCTGCTGGATGCAGAGGCCCTAGAAGGGGCTGTTGTAGTTGAGACCACTCCAGCCAAGTTCTCCTTAACAAGCAGGAAGGGCCCCCTGAGGTCACCTCAGGAAAGTCCAAGAGGTTTACCCCGGGCTTCCAGTAACCGGTTCATCCCAGCTGCCTGTCCCTCTTTTAACCTCTACTGCTTTTTCTTAGGGGCTGGAAAGTTGTAAAGAGGGTTTCCTATAGGGCAGTGATATTCAGAGATCAGCTCTGGGAGGAACCATTGTTCCAGCACCTTTTTACATTGTTGCACCTTGATTTAATTGTCTTTTCCTGAGGCCTGGAGATTTCTGGGGCAGGCATCTTGTCCTTTGTTTTCCCAGCATGCAGCATATTGACCAGAATGCAGGAATTGGTTGCTGAATGAAGCAATGAATTACATTTCAGCATTCATCAGGTGATTAGTCTGCACAGGCTTCTAAAACTTACCTTTCCCTTGGAGGAAGCTCACAGCCACCCTTGTGTGTTGGAAGCACAGGTGAGGAAACTGAAGCTTGGGGCTGTTGGGTGACTGGCTCAAGCCCAAACAGGGGCAGCTCTGAGGCCCTCAGGACGTTCTGTGGGAAAGTAAAATGTTGAGAGGAGCCTTGATGAATTGGGGCAATTGGCAGGGGCTAATTGTCAGTCAGAAATACTCAGCTCAGATTATTAGGTGTGAAGAAGGAAACAGTCAAAGCTTCCCCACTGAATTGCCCAAATGGGGTTGGGTGGCAGGAATGACTCCTTAGCAAAGCAAGGGCTGGTCCCTGTAGGGCAGGATGCTGTGGTGTAGACCCAGCTTTTCTCCTGCTGGTCCTAGTGCAGAGAATACTGCCAACCTTACTTGGCACCTGGGAACCTTGAGAGTACTTCAGAGGCCCCCTGGGATCACAGTTGGAGTGGGGGGGGGCATTACTTTGGTTCCAGGGGACATCTTCCCTCTAAGAAAGTCAGCTTGGTGTCTTGACAGGGGCTGCATCCCAGAACTTACACGGTGTGCTATGGACCTGGTAACTTGTGTATCCAGGGCTGGACTGTGGTCTTTGGAGAGTAGGAGATAAGGGGCATCCTGAGCTCCTAGCCTACTGGGGCCAGTCTCCGGGAGATAGGTGGGTAAAGCTTGAGGGTGGAGTTTAGGGACCCCGGTGCGGACGCCGCGCAGGACAAGGCCAAAAGTAGCCTTTCTCCCAAGTGGGCTCAGGGCTAATAGATAGAAGGGCTGCGGGTAAACACTCCACTGGGGCAATAATTATGCACATTTACTAAGCCCAGGGAGGACTCATGGTCACGTGGCTCTCGAGGGCGGCGCCCTCAGCTTTGAGATGGAGTTAACTCTAATCACAGAAGGCTTTCTGGAGGAGGCGGGATTTTTATGGCGGTAGGTCGTGGTTTTCTCCTAACAGCGAGGATGCCCTTAGCACTTTAGGTTAACAGCTGGCTGCAGAGGTGAGATTTGTCGCGGTACAATAGCCCAGGGGGCGATGAAGTCAGACCGAATTGGGGGAAGGGCTTAGGGAGCCGGAATCTCGGTGTGAGGCTGGGTTTGGGTTCCTTGACCTGTCCTTGCGCCGTCTTTGATGATTGGACGCGTCGTGGCCGCTCTAGGCCAGAGCTGTGGGGCCCCGGGCGCTGGGTGCAGGCCTCGAGGTCCAAGACACCCTGGGAGCAGACAGCACCAGCCTGAGGATTAGGCGATTAAGCCATTAGGCCTGACTGGGCCAGCCGGCGGTCCGCCCTCCCAGCGCAGTTCCGCCGGGGTCCCGAAGCCCGGCTTGCAGGGGCGAGGCGCGCGCTCCCGGGGGATCAGGACTGCGGAGCAGGCGGCCCGTGCTGGGCGGCTGTGGCACGAGAGGGCCTTCTGCCTGGGTGCGGAGAACTGCAGCGTCCGCTGTGCGAGGCGCGGCCCCTCCGGGCCCCCAGCCCGCGTCCTCAGCCCCGCGCGCACACACCTACTGACGCCCGCCCGCGCCTGCGGCCCGAGTCCCCGTGCCAGGCCCAGACCCAGACTAGGCGCGGGAGGCGGTGCAGGGATTAGTGGACCCCTCCCCCCAGCGCTCCCCTCGCCCCGCCCGAGGCAGCGAGGACCCCTGGGCTCGGGGGTGGTGAGGGAGCTTCGTCCCGGCGGTGCCCGGGCTGGGTACACGGCCTCACTGGGCGGGGGCCGCACGGCGGCAGGCCGAGGTGCGGGAGCGCTGTCAGGCTGCTGCCCGGCTCCGGTGCGGGGGGTGGGCTAGCGCGGGGGTCGCCCGGTCTCATTCCCCGGCCGAGGCCACGGCCGGGCAGGCAGTGCCCGGGCGGGTAACCCGACCCGACCCGGCTCCCGATCGCCGCTCACCCCGCAAGGCCGGGCAGGGGGAGGGAGAGAAATAGGGAGGAGGGGGAAGGGAAGGGGTGGTGGGTGAGGGGCTGTGGGGACCGCAGGGCCGAGTCCCCAGCCTGTCTGCGCTGCTCTAGGGCGGCTGCCTGTTTAGCCCGGGACGAGCCAGCCCCCTGCCTCGCGGGCGTCGGGCCTGCGGCAGGAGGGAGCCCTGGGGCTGCACAAGCTTGGCTCTGGGAGGCAGACCCGAGCTGCTGCCTCCATTTTGTTTCCTGCTCAGCTTGGTCTGTGGTGGTGGTGGTGTGGGTTTGGGGTGCGGCTGGGCAGGGGGTTCACCTGCGGCCGCATCTGCTCAGGGCCTGAGGCTTCGAAGACCCCAGCCCAAGCCCCCAGGTGAGCCCCGCGGTAGGAGGGGGGGTTGCCTTGGCCTCGGGGCGAGCCGAGCGGGCTGAGGGCAGGTGCCCAGTGGATGGGGAGCCGGGCTGTAACCTAAGATGGAGGCCGGGACTGACGCGGGCCCGAACGGAGCTGGCTGGGCGGTCGGACAGGCCTCAGCCGGGCCAGGTGCCGCCGGGGATGGGGCTCGGAGACGGGTAGGGTGCAGGAGTCGTGTGCAGCCCGGGGCTATAAATGCGACCCGAGGTAGGTGAGGGGATCTGAGTGCCACCCACGACGCCCGCAGGCCCAGACACTCCGGGGAGGCGCGCGAGGCCCCTGGGGAGCCTGCCTCAGGCCCCGCCCGGGCTGCCGGGCCGGCCCGTAGGCCCGGGCCGCGAGCGGGCGCGCAAGGGGAGGGGAGGGGGCGGCAGCGGCGGCTCCGCTGATTGGGCGGCGCGCTCGCGAGCCCGACTTCACCCGCCCTGAACCCCGAAGAGTGAGGAGAGGGAGCGCGCGCGCGGTGGGGGAAGGGGTGCGCGCGCACTCGGCGCCCCAGCCGCACGCGGGCCGGCGCGAGGCGCTGGGTCGCACGCGCCGCCGCGGGGGCGCGCGCGGTGGGGGTGTGAGGAGGAGGAGGCGGCGGCGGAATAGGCCGGGGCAGGTCGCGCTTGCTGCCTTCTCCCCTGAAGAGAGACGCGGGGGGGAGGGGGGTGCGGCGAGCGGCTCCGCTCTCTCCCCTCAGCTCCGCTCGCACCCCAGTGTAATGAGGGTCACCCCCTCCCCCCAGCCGGCCCGGGAGGGGGCGCGGGGCACGGTAACTAGTGCGCTTGGGTGGGTGGCGGGTAGGCGCGTGGAGGAGGGAGGAGGCGGCCGGGTGGGGAAGATGGTGGTGGCAGTGAGGTGAGGGGCGCGGGGGAGGGCCGGGCGCGGCGCGGTGTTGGTGGCCCGCGGCGTTGTAGCCGCGGGCCCCCTCCCCCTCCATCACTACCAGCCGGGCTCAGGCCTAGCCGGCCCGGCCGCCGCGAACTTCCTCCCCGCGCGGCCCGTGCCCCGCCGGCCTCCCGCGCGCACCTCGGCCTCCGCCTCCCCTCAGGTAGCCGGCTGGTGGGCGCGGGGCCGGCTACCCTCCTGCAGCAAACTTTGCTTGCTGCTTAATATTGATGAGTGTGATCGGCTCGGCCAGGAGGTGCTGCCGCGGCTGCGGGAAGGAGCGCGGCCCGGGCAGGCGGCGGCGGCGTCGGCAGCAGCCATGTTTGTCAAGCTGTAGCAGCTGCTGCTGCTCCCTGACTCGGCTTCACCGGCTGCCTCTGTTTCTCCCTCCCTGCCGCGTCGTGGCCTCTGGGCCCTGCAGCCGTGGACCGAGCAGTCCTGCAGTCTGGAAGGCGAGGTTCGGGGTGCACTCGCTTAGGCCGACTCGCCTGCGGCCTGGGCACGGCCGCTGCAAAGGCTTCAGTGCCGGCTGGGCGCAGGGTGCAGCGCTATTGTGACCGCTGCGCCCGAGCGAGCCAGGAAGGAGGGGGGGGGTAACCTTTTTTGTGCAGCGTCCGGGAACCCCCTTCGAACCGTGCAGCCCTCTCCCTTTGGGAGAGCCGGCTGCTGGACCCCCCAGCGGGGAATGGGGAGGGCAATTTCTGTTTGAGATTTAGGAATTTCTGTTGCCAAAGGGATTTTAATGTTAGTTCAGCCCAACTGTCCACCAGTCTGCAGTGCAGGAAAAAGGGACGGGCTGCTTGCATGTGGCAAGATCTGCCCAGCTCCGGGAAGATGGAGTTTGCGGAGGTTCACCGAGGCCATTTTTCCATCGTCAGCTGGGGAACTTTTTCCGCCCATGGAAGTGCAGCAGAAAGGCATCGAGGCCACTAGGCCTTCAGAAGTGGCTGCCATTTTGAAGATAAGAGTCAAATGGCCTATAAACTCAGATTAATTGCTGTTTTTGGATTCCAGGTTGATGCTGGCCCAGGATGGATCAGACCTGTGAACTACCTAGAAGAAATTGTCTGCTGCCCTTTTCCAATCCAGTGAATTTAGATGCCCCTGAAGACAAGGACAGCCCTTTCGGTAATGGTCAATCCAATTTTTCTGAGCCACTTAATGGGTGTACTATGCAGTTACCGACTGCCAGTGGAACATCCCAAAATGCATATGGACAAGATTCTCCATCTTGTTACATTCCACTGCGGAGACTACAGGATTTGGCCTCCATGATCAATGTAGAGTATTTAAATGGGTCTGCTGATGGATCAGAATCCTTTCAAGACCCTGAAAAAAGTGATTCAAGAGCTCAGTCGCCAATTGTTTGCACTTCCTTGAGTCCTGGTGGTCCAACAGCACTTGCTATGAAACAGGAACCCTCTTGTAATAACTCCCCTGAACTCCAGGTAAAAGTAACAAAGACTATCAAGAATGGCTTTCTGCACTTTGAGAATTTTACTTGTGTGGACGATGCAGATGTAGATTCTGAAATGGACCCAGAACAGCCAGTCACAGAGGATGAGAGTATAGAGGAGATCTTTGAGGAAACTCAGACCAATGCCACCTGCAATTATGAGCCTAAATCAGAGAATGGTGTAGAAGTGGCCATGGGAAATGAACAAGACAGCACATCAGAGAGTAGAAATGGTGCAGTCAAATCGCCATTCTTGCCATTAGCTCCTCAAACTGAAACACAGAAAAATAAGCAAAGAAATGAAGTGGACGGCAGCAATGAAAAAGCAGCCCTTCTCCCAGCCCCCTTTTCACTAGGAGATACAAACGTTACCATAGAAGAGCAATTAAATTCAATAAATTTATCTTTTCAGGATGATCCAGATTCCAGTACCAGTACATTAGGAAACATGCTAGAATTACCTGGAACTTCATCATCATCTACTTCACAGGAATTGCCATTTGTAAGCAGTTTTTGGTACAACTTAAATATATACATAAATGTATATATACAGGCAACTTAAAGGGAAGCATAACTAATTGGTTTTTGGTTGCTTATCAGTTAACAACTGAGAGCCTATTGCTACTGATAGGCTTTTTGGTAAAATTTTACTTTGATTTTTAAATTTATCTCTGTTGTATGATTTTTTTTTTCCCAGATTTTTCCAGCTAACTCTTCAGTTGAGGACTGGTTAAGAGTTAAAACTTTCAAGGGCCTTTGAGTTCAGATTTCATTTTTCATGATGAAGCACACATTTGTTTAGTTTTACTTTATTTTTTAAATACTTTGGCTTGCTGGTTTCCTGAGTGCAGGTGAACCAGTTAGTGTTCTGGAGCTCTTTTTTACATAAGGCATGGCTTATTTTTTTAGTTGGTGAGGTGATGCTTGCTTCACATCGAAGTGCCTTTTGGATACAAGTTGAAAGTAGCTAAGATGAGAAGACCTTCTTGGACATCAGTCAAAATTTAAATTAGGCTAGTTTTTCTGAACTACCTGTTGTGAAGGTATAGCATCCTATGCTTTAGGTAACTGCCACCATCAGAATAGACTCTTGAACTTTAGTTATTTAGTAGTGCTGTATATTGTTAACGAGTGGTGAATGATAAAGTTCTTTTTTTGATCTTAGGCAGAATTTCTTGGACTGCCTGTAGTTAGCAGAATGCTCAGTTCTCTTAGCCTCAGCTTCATCACCTTTAAAATCAAACTTCTTGGTTGCTAAAAAATTTCTCTCAGTTTTAAATATTTCATTCTGATTTTGTTTGTGCCTCGATGTATTGTTATGGTTACCTGCAGTGTCAGCACAGAGGATCTCCTTACCCCCCATGCCTCTGAAATCTATATAAAAATTTAATCAGAAAAAATTGTATGTGGTGATTGTTTTGAGTACATCAAAGATTTCACTTTACCGTATAGCCTTGATGTTCTTTAAAGTCACAGAGTATGTGGGTGTGTCGCTTTTGTTTGTTGATTGATGTATTAAATATGCTTTAGTACTCCCTGGTTTCTTTTTTTTTTTAACTCCCTGGTTTCTTAAGTTGGCAGTTGCACATTTAAAAAATTTGTTTTGGTAGTCAGTCACCTTGAGTCTGTATTGTCCTCGGTATTTTTTAGGGTGGATAACTTGTGTTGGTGACCTGTTGGCAGCTTAGACAAACTCTTTGTCTTGGGTTCACATGGAAATTTATTTTACATATGCAGGTTTGGTCTTGTAATTACCTAAAATCTTACATTTGACAGTGGAGATAGATGTTTCTCTAGAAGTGTATATATAGTGATACATAAATCTGTTTCTCGTTAGAGAGGTCACTGGAATTTTGGCTCTATAATAAATAATTGAAAATATTGGAGCTTATAGACAGTATGTTATATATCCTAAATGGGACTTAGCAAAATTGTGTATAAATAGAAATTTTTTTTTTCTGGCAGAAAGTCTAAATTGCTTAAAGACTTTATGGGCTTGAAGAGGCAAGTAACCAATTTTAAGCCTTTGATTTAAGGCTGTGGATGCAATCTATTGATTTGGTTTTTGCCTTTGATATTTTTTAGCTGAAGATTTGAAATAGTGAAGTCAGTCTTAGAGTGCAAATTTAGCTGAATAATGTAGTTTGGGAAAGGTGTAATTAAACCTAATTCTGTATGGCTGCACACTATTAATATATACAGAGTACTGCACAGTTGATTCATTGCAGCAAGTATGGAGCACTTACTTTGCATTAGATTCTATGCTTAGGGCTGGAAATTTTAGAAAATCATTAGCAAATGCTATTGGTCTTTTTTGTTCTGTGATGTCATAATAGAATAAGATTCTCTTGGTAAGAGTAAAATAGTTATTAGGATTGTAAATTCCCTTTATAGAGTTCGAGAAAGGCACATGGTTCAAGATCATATTGTCTTATTTTGTATATCTGGCTATAAGCAGACTGTTTGCCCCCTGCCATAAATAAACAGCCTCTTCAGTTTATCCTCTGCTGTTTATTTTGTCTGAATATAGTGATGTGAATAATGATTGTCATTATAGTTGATAACCTTGACTTGGTGCTTTTATATTTAATTGGGTTGACACCTTCTAATTCCTGCCAGTGAATATATACAGTGTACAGTGCTTCATAATATGTAGGTGCTTGATAAAATACTGAAGGAAGGTTTGTCCCAGAGCTACAAGTTAAAACAAAAGGCAATAACTTAAAGCTTATTAAGTGTTTTGGTCTGTATTGTCTCTTCATAACCTTGTAGTAAAAGATGTCATAGAATACAGATCATCCTTCAAGGCACTTGAGATTATTAGAGACAAGACTAAAACCCTTGAAATCCTAGAATTATCTCAGTACTCTTGGTTTTCTCTAGTGACTTCTGAAGGTCTCTGACACTCTTGGCTGGGCCTGGTTTACTCACTAGGCTGTTTGTAGTAGTTGTTTGTTTTTTACTCTTCCTTACTTAGATATTTTATAGAGAATTTATATTGTGGTGGTATTCATGAATTTAGGGATACTCAAAATTATTAGGATGTAGCTAGCTCCAGGATAGTCTGATGTACATATTATACTAAAGAAGATCACTAAAAATGAATCTACTTACAGTTGGAACTAAAATTTCACAATAAGGAGAAAAGGGTTTACTTAGGATTTTATATTAAAATTAAGAATTCTGAAAATAAACTGTTTAAACCTGTGATGAAAAATTTTGGTTGTGATGGCAACTATTTGTTATAATAAGGCAAGAATCAAATTAAAAAAAATTTTGTCCAGGGGTACCTGGATGGCTCAGTCAGTTGAGCATCTGACTCTCAATCTCACCTCAGGTAATGATCTCCAGGTTTGTGGGATCAGGCCCTGTTTGGGGCATTGTGCTGATCACGTGGAGCCTGATTGGAAATCTCTTTCTCTTTCTCTCTCTGCCCCTCCTCCTTTCTCTCTCTCTCAAAATAAATATGTTAAAAAAAATTAAAGTTTTGTTCAGCAAAATTGTCTAATAGGAAGCTGACATACTTTATTTTGCTTCAGTGTCATCATGATCATAATGAGGTTAAATTTTTGTGAAATAGGTAATAAGTAAAATTTTACTAATTTGTAAAACAGCAAGATTCTCTTTTAAGAATGTCCATTATGGAAAATTTCAAGCATAACCAAAAGAGAGAGAATAGTAGAAATTCCTACATACTCATTGGTAACTGCTATTTTACCGATCTTGTTTTATCTTCCCTCTGTTAAGTCATTCACTTACATTGTTTATAAATTTACTTATTTAGAGTGTATGCGAGTGGGGGAGGGGCAGAGAGAGAGGGAGAGAAAGAGAATCCCAAACAGACTACACAGTGTCATTGAGGAGCCCATCTTTGGGTTTGAACTCATGACTGAGATTATGAACCTGAGTCAAAACCAAGAGTTGGATGCTTAACCAACTGAGCCACCCAGGTGCCCCAATAGATCTTAATACTTTGATGCTTATCATGTCACTCTTTGAAGCTCCTGTCCTATTATTGTTGTCATTTGTCATGTGTTTACTGGTTGACCTAGATCATCTTTTCCATGCTTGTAATCAGAGTGATTTTTCTTTATTATTTACATCGATTTCAAGAAATACAGTATCTTAAAACACAGCGTCTTTTTGCCAGATTTGTTTGCAGTTTTACCTTGTAATTGACTAGCATTGAAATAGTAGTTCCTTATTAGGTGGAGATAGACACTATATTATCCATAGGAAGATGTTTGAATAGAGACTTCCTTTTGTCATTTAAAAATAGATACTTTGGTGTTGTAACAATCCTGTACAATCTTGAGGATTTACAAAGCACTCAAAACCACCCCCTTGTACTGAGTTCTATGCTGTACATGTTTAAGTGGTTAAAGAATTGAGTGGAGAGATGAATGAAACCTAGAGTAGTCAAGGCTTCAGGGAAGAAGTGGAACTTGAATTGGCTTTGGCTGGGTTGAATTTGGTTAGGTTTAGAAGGCTATTTTCTTTTTCTTTTCTATTCCTTTTTTTTTTTTTTTTAAAGCTTATTTTGAGAGCACAAGCAGGGGAGGCGTAGAGAAAGGGTGAGAGGATCTCAAGCAGGCTCTGTGCTGTCAGCATGGAGCCTGAACCCATGAACTGTGAGATCATGACTTGAGCTGAAATCAGGAGTCTGGATGCTTAACTGAGCCACCCAGGTACCCCCTAGAAGAATATTTTGTATGTAGAGCATTAAGTGAACATAGTATTTTCAGGAAATATTTGTTGGAGATGGTTGGGTAGGATAGGTGTAGTCTGGTAATAGGGCCTAAAAATTTGGATTGTGGCTTTTGATGTTGAAGTGATAGGACTGGGAGCCAGCAAGGGATTTTAACTGAGAAGTGATCTGATGAAATCAGTGTTTGGAAAACTTTGGCTGGGGAAGAATAGAGGCAACCTTAGGATATATGAGTCTGTTGCAATAGTAATTAAAACTTAGACTTGGACAGAATTAATAGTAGAAAGAAGGAGGGTAAATCCAAAAGATATTTTCAGAGGAGGGAAATTGGCAGCCATTTTGCGTTGCCTGGAGGCAAAATTAGTCTGGATTTGGGGAAAGGAGAGATGAGTGCAGATGATCTCTATGGCTTCTGGTGGTCCCTGAGACCATGATTCCTCGGGGATTCTCTCTGCTGTCCCCATCATTGCAGTAATTCTCTACCCTCTCCTTTCCAGTCTAAGAAGAAAATAGATCCTGTCTGCGTACCTCTCAAGTTCTGCTCTTTGACTCCCTCCTTGCTGGAGAACCTAGTGTTACTCATCCCTCTTTCCTCTTTTCTTCTGGAGTCTTTATTTTCTACCTTTCTACTTTGTCATTTTTTTCTGCCTAAAACCAGGATGACATCTTCCTATTCTAAAGGCATCTTCCTATATCCTGTAACTCTTCTAATGATCTTTCCCCTTTAATGGTGAATTACTTGAAATCGTTAACTGCTTTTTAACCTCTCCTTAAAGCTCTGTGGATTGGCTTCT